GTGGGTCCTGCGGACTGAGGCACCGCGGGGATCTGAGGTAGACCTCGCCGTCCCTGGGGGGCTGCGATCTGCGACACTGTCGCCACTTTCGAGGGCTGCTGGTGGGTCCTGCGGACTGAGGCACCGCGGGGATCTGAGGTAGCCTCGCCGTCCCTGGGGGGCTGCGAGACACTCGCCGTCCCTGGGGGGCTGCGATCTGCGACACTGTCGCCACTTTCGAGGCTGCTGGTGGGTCCTGCGGACTGAGGCACCGCGGGGATCTGAGGTAGACCTCGCCGTCCCTGAGGGGCTGCGATCTGCGAAACTGTCGCCACTTTCGAGGGCTGCTGGTGGGTCCTGCGGACTGAGGCACCGCGGGGATCTGAGGTAGACCTCGCCGTCCCTGGGGGGCTGCGATCTGCGACACTGTCGCCACTTTCGAGGGCTGCTGGTGGGTCCAGCGGAGTGAGGCACCGCGGGGATCTGAGGTAGACCTCGCCGTCCCTGGGGGGCTGCGATCTACAAAACTGTCTCCACGTTCGAGGGCTGCTGGTGGGTCCTGCGGACTGAAGCACCGCGGGGATCTGAGCCTGACCTCGCCGTCCCTGGGGGGCTGCGATCTGCGACACTGTCGCCACTTTCGAGGGCTGCTGGTGGGTCCAGCGGACTGAGGCACCGCGGGGATCTGAGGTAGATCTCGCCGTCCCTGGGGGGCTGCGATCTGCGACACTGTCGCCACTTTCGAGGGCTGCTGGTGGGTCCTGCAGACTGAGGCACCGCGGGGATCTGAATTAGACCTCGCCGTCCCTGGGGGGCTGCGATCTGCGACACTGTCGCCACGTTCGAGGGCTGCTGGTGGGTCCAGCGGACTGAGGCACCGCGGGGATCTGGGGTAGACCTCGCCGTCCCTGGGGGGGCTGCGATCTGCGACACTGTCGCCACTTTCGAGGGCTGCTGGTGGGTTCAGCGGAGTGAGGCACCGCGGGGGACCTGAGCGATACCTCGCCGTCCCTGGCGAGGGGGCTGCGTTAGTAACCACTACGACGCCCTCATACCTTGATCGGGGGCCTGCGAGCCTTCGGATTGCTGCTTGCAAAATCACATGCGCCCATGTTACGTCATCGCCCTCGTTGTAGCAATCCTGATGTACTTATGCTCCGCATTGCGCGAGGGTTGGGTACGTCGCCAGGGTAATTGTTGGAACGTCGGGTCTCTGGGAATGGGCCCTCACCGAAGTGGACCAGAAAACAAACGACACCACCCCACCTACGGCCCAGGGGGCTTAGCGTATACCAGGACATTTGGCGTGGCTTTGTGCGTGGTATACGCTACGGCGCCCGATGGGCCGCAGCACAACATGGCGGGCAGTAGGTGGGATGGTGTTGTTTGTTTTCTGGTCGAAAGGGCGTTGCTCGGCCACCGTGGTCTTTTTCTGGGCGAAGCCAAATCGACCTTTCAAGCGGAACTCGTTGCAGCCGAATTCGCCGTGCAAATTGTTGCAGGCACAAGCCCCGTGAATGAAAAGAAGCTCGTCTTGTTTGATCTGTTGCGTTTTTCCAAAATTCGATTCGGTGAGTCGTTCATTTATGTGTCTTGCGAGTTCTTGATTGCTGTATGCTGCATTTTCGCCCAAATTATTGGCGACTCGATGAAGGAAAATCCCCAGGACAAGGGGTCATCCCTGGGCCTTCCGAAAGGAGCCCATCCGGCGCGACGAATGGACTCCATCGAGCGCGAAGCGTGGGAGGTGCCCACAAACCGATGAAAAAAATGGAGACCATCCGGCGCCGAATGGCTCTCGAGATAAGAGCCCATCTGGCGACAAAGGAATCCAGCTGGCATGAAACAGAGTCCATCCGGCGAACCGATAGAGTCCATCCGGCGCCAAATTAGAGTCCATCCGGCGGCATTAGAGCCCATCCAGCTGGCAAAATGACCATCGTGGCATCCGAGTCCATTCGGCGGATAGCCCCGTTGTGCGCGCTGCTTGCACATCCCCTCGACCCCTCGACCCCGCGCCCCATGCCCCCGCGACCCCACGCCACCCGCGACCTTCTCACCCCGCCACCCCGCGACCCTATCCCGCGACCACAAGTCCTCACGACCCCGCGACCCCGCCACCCACCACATCACCGCCATGTCACCCCGCCGCCCCACGAAACCGCGACCTCACGCCACTGCCCCGAGACCCCGCTGCTCCGCAACCCCGCAGTCCCACCGCCCCGCAACGGTGCACCGCCTCAACGGATCCTCAGGATCCTTCTCCCTCGGAAAATCCTTGGGATCATTGGGGGTCCCTAGCGGATCCAAGGGGGGCCCCACGGATCTTTCGGGATCCTTCGCGAAAACCTGAGGGGACCTTGGGGATCCGTGGGGATGTTGCGCTGTTCCCGAAGGAAAGCCTTAGGATCCGTTGGGATCTTTAGCGCGCCCCCCAAGAACACCGTAAAGATCTAGGGGTCCTTAGCGGTTCCAAGGGAAACCCTAGGGATCCTTGGGGATCCTCAGCGGATCCTTAAGGAAGCCTGGAACTCCTTAGCGGATCCCAAGGATATTTCGGGATTCTGAGCGGCACCTTCGAGAAACCCGAAGGACCCTAGGAGATCCTTTGCGGATCCCCACAGGGAAGCCCTAGGAATCCTTTCGGATCCTGGGCGGATTCCTGAGGAAACCTTCGGGGTCATTGGGGAACCTTGAAAGGACCTCCAGGGAAACCTCAGGAATCACTGGCGCGAGGGATGGGGGTTATCCCCAGGGAAGCCCTAGGGATCCTTGGGGATCCTTCGCGGATCCTTAGGGCAATGCGCGATGCGCGAATTCATTCCACGTTTGTTTGGGACGCCCCCACCGAGCACCCATATGACTACATTGCATACCAATGGCATGACAAAACAACAGCGAGGAAACACACGTGACAGTCCGTGCGCACTGGGAGATTTGAAGGAATGCGCGGGAACGCCGAGCGCTAGGTGCGCCCAAGAGGCGCCAGCATAACGATGCGATTTTTCTGAGCGAGGGCATTCCAAAAATGAGAATTGCTTTGGTTTTTTCCAAACGCACGTCGGATCTCAAAGAGTCCATTCGGCGAGGCCTTTTCGCAAAGCCCATCCGGGGGAATAAGAGCCCATCCGGCGGGATATAGCCCATCCGGCTGGAAAAGAACCCATCCGGCTGACATTAGAGCCCATCCGGCGCGCCGAATGGTCTCTCTTTCAAAAAAAAAAAAAAAGATCCGGCGAGAAAACAGAGCCCATCCGGCAAAAGGAGTCCATCCGGCGAATCGAGAGTCCATCCGGCGACGCGACCTACTGCTTGCAATGCCTGGAACACGTTTAGCGCACGCAGATAAGAGCCCATCCGGCGCTTGCGCGGAGATTCGCCGACTGCAACGCCATTCGGCGCCGAACGGGCTCTTCTCGGAAGGGCTGGGCCCTGGCGAAGGGCCACGCTCGCGTGCAGTCGATCCGCGTGGTCGCGGGCGGGCTGTGCGCCTTCCGCCCGCGCACGCGGGGGCCAGGCCTCAGAGCAGCGGGGCGTCGGCGAACTCCTCGTCCGAGCCGGACCTCCCGGGGCGGCCCCAGATCTTCGAGGCAAGACGAGTCTGGATGAGGTCTCGGGCGCCGCGGCTTTCTTAGAGCGTTCTGGAACGCTCTGAGAGCGCTCGGGGACGCTTTGGAACGGATGTATGATGTATCCTCGTCCGAACCTCGCCCGGATCTTCGAGGCGGCGGTGTGCTTTTTCGGTCCCGGCGCTGTTCCTCGCTTCGACCTCCCGGGCCCGCCATCTCGGGCGCCAGAGCTATCAAGGACGGGCCCAGGGCGATCTGTCTGATGCGGCCCTGGGGAAGCGGTCGGGACCTCTGGGACCGCGGACTAAAGCAAAAATATCGGCGGGTGTCAGGGACCGGCACCGTGGTCGGGGGGGAGGAGGGGGGGGGGACGATATCGGAGGCTATAGGATAAGAAGAGGAGGAGGAGGAGGAGGGGGTCGCAGGAGGGAGGAGGTATGAGGAGGGGCGGGCTTTCCTACCAGTCCTCCCTTCTCCCTCCTGTCCTCGTCCTCCTCCTCCTCCTCCTCCTCCTCCTCCTCCTCCTGTCGCTTCTACTCCATTCAGGCGGCGGGGGAGGAGGGAGAAGGAGGGACGACGAGGACAGGAACGAGCACGACGAGGGGGGGCGGCGTGGGCGGCGGGAGAAAAAGGGAGGGGACGACGAGGACGAGGACGACAGCGACGCAGGGAGGGCCTCTCCTCCTCCTCCTCGCGCCGCTGGCGCTCCTCCTCCTCCCGCGCCAGGCGCGCGGCGCGCTCCAGCCGCCGGCGGTAGACGGCGTCCTTGTCCTGGGCGTCCAGCTGCCACCAGAAGAGGCGCCCCTCCTCGGTGGCCTCTCCTCGGCGAGCGGGGGAGGGGGGGACGCCTCCTCTTCTCCTCTCTCTTGCCTCCTCCTTCTCCTCCTTTTCCTCCTCCTCCTCCTCCTACTCCTCCTCCTCCTCCTCCTCCTCCTCCTCCTCCTCCTCATGTCTTCTTCTCTCTCCCCCATCTATCCTCCACCGTCCTCTTCGGTCCTCCTCCCTCCCCCACCTCCAGACCTCGGCCCGGGGCCCCCCGACCCAGCGCGCAGCTACGACACGAGAGGCCCAGCAATGCCGTGGACCGCATCGCGGGACTGGACGCACACCACTCCCAGCGTGCGAGTGATTCGTGCCATGCTCCCTTCCATGTCTGCGGGCGCGCCGGGAGGAGGGCGAGGAGGGCGAGGAGGAGGAGGAGGAGGAGGAGGAGGAGGAGGAGGAGGAGGAGGAGGAGGAGGAGGGAGAGCTTCAGGAGAGCGACGAGGGCGAGAAGGAGGAGGAGAAGGACGAGGAGGAGGAGGAGGAGGCGGAAGGGAAGGAGGAGGAGGAGGAAGAGGAGGAGGAGGCGGAGGGGTACGGCAGCCCAGACCACCGGGCGCAGGCCGCCGCGGGGCGGCCTTGGCAGGCCGAGGAGGGCCCACACCTGTGGGCAGGAAGCCTGCAGCGCCGCACTCCAGAGCAGCGGTGGCGTCGGCCGAGCAGTCGCTGCATGCAGCGACCTCGCTCACAAACACCAAACGAATCTCGATATATAGCACTTTCCAGCAACACCGCCTCGAACCATGTGCGGTCAGGGGCGAGCCGATGAGATTGTGCGGGGCACACAAGATCAGCTCCACCATGCTGCCTTGCTCCCCCACGCACAACATTGCCGTAGACCGTGACCCACCACCAGTCGGGACCACGGTCGACGCCGATGCCCACCCAGGCAAAGGCAAGGCCCCTCTCATCAGCACGCCACTGGGGCGCCCCCATTACCAGAGTGCCCGAAAGGGAGGGCGACGGGACGTCGCACACCGGTAGCATCTCACTTCGCGCGCTAGAGGAACGCGACCGCCTACAGTCGGGGAGTTGACCTAAGGAACACGATAAATAAGGAACGAGGCCCCTTTTTTCCCATACATTAAACTCCGATGTTCCATGGAAAACCTCCAGCAGACCCGTACACCCAGGACAGTCCTCTGGCGCTCGCACTACTGGGTCCCACTACCACGGACAGCCCTGGCGAAGATAACTTCATCCCAGTGCGCGTCGCACGGCCGAGGATTCCAAGTCTACAGTAGAGGCGTTGACCTAAGGAACCCTAAATAAGGAACGAGGCCCCTATTTTCCATAAGTTGAACTTCGATTTCGTATGGAAAACCAAAGGAAATCCAAGGCAAGCTGCGAATCAATGAAGGAACACGGAGCCCCTCCCCAACGAAAAGGGTTCCTTCTTCAGGGCCCAGACTGTACGTCAGGGCACATCCAAAGGATAATCTACCAACTCGGACAGGAGGAGGTAACCCTAAGCGTCGCCCAAGTTACTCCCCGCCCAGCTGACAAAAACTGTCTGGATCCGCGCCACCATCTGTGAGGCTGATTCCACCGCGGTCGCGCCTGCGCTCGAGCTGTTCACAACACAATTCTCAAGAACCGCACCTGTCAACGGTAACCGCCACCCAGGTGGGCCACGCACACGCACAGCTCGGCGGAAGGCGAAAAAACACTACACATCAGCCAAGAAAGACGCCTCACGCAAACGGCTTGACGACGACCTCATCGACGCGTTCACGGGCGCGTTCACGTCCCAGCGACGCACCGTGCAAGCACCACGATAACCTGAGGACGCCACGGCACAATGGTGAGCAAACGCAAGCTCACGGTGAGAGAGCAAGCGGGTGTTCCTCTGATCCATTCCTCATCCGGGCGAGGAGGTATCCGGCTGGACCCCAGCTACCCCGGCTGCGAAGGGCCTCCGCCCAGCGAGCGGACCGGCGCGCGATGCCCAGATGGTCGCCAGACCACTGCCCAGGGAGCGTGCTCGAAGCATGCGGCGCTGTCCGCGCAGACAGGAAGGCGGGCATCGGAGTCAAAGCGGCGCCCAGGGAGCGAACCAGGTCGCCCTGGAACGCCGCGGGACCGACGCCGCCCTCGCCCGCGCAGACTACCGCACCACGGGCATCAGACCACAGAGCACCACTGCGACGCAAATCGCCGAGGTCCTCGCAGGAATCGAACAGCACCGCGAAGTCGGACGCACTGGCTGGAACTGACTACCTACCAGACCACCCCAACCCAACCCGAAGACCCGAATTTGACCCGAATTTCGGGTTGGGGGGGGTACGGATACCATATGTTGTTTCAACGTTCCCCGACCCCCCCCCACTGGAAATCGAGGATAAATTTGGGCCTTCGGGTTGGGTTGGGGTGGTTTGGTGGGTGGTGAGGAACAGAGCGAGACCAGGGGTGATCTCGCCAGGTGCACACAGGGCAGACGGCAGGGTCGCCGCGCGCCGCCCAGGCAGCGAGGCCCGTGCCCAGGCTGCGCCCCGACTCCGGCACCAGCGCGCAGAGGGCGGAGATCATGGACGCCGGGCGCTGGGGCCCCCCAAAACTAGGAGCCGAATTATGAGTACGTCGGACCTCTGCCTCTGCTTGGCCCTCAGTTGTGAAAACTACCATGCACATATGCATTTTCATAATGTAATATGACAAGCGGGACGGTAAGAGGAGGAGGAGAAGGAGGAGGAGGAGGAGGAGGAAGACCAGCGAGAAGGGGTACGACACGAGAAGTAGCAACAGGCGGACAATGAGGGAGGAGAGGAGCAGGGCGCGGAAGGTGCAGCAAGGACGTTGGAGAGCCTCCTCCTCCTTCAACTCCTCCTCCTTCTCCGCCTCCGCCTCCTCCTCCTCCTCCTCCTCCTCCTCCTCCTACGGCGAGGCCGCGTTGGGGACCAAGTCGGAATGGTATACCACGGGATCTCTGAGATCTGGCGGCTCTGGAGGATGTGTCCATCGCCGCGGTCGCTCCAGAGCGCTCCTCAGACCCCCGACGTTATGAATTCCTCATGACGTCGACCCTCAGAGGTCTCGACACATTCCTCGTAACCGTGTTTTTCATCCTGGGTCTAGAAGGTCCCGAGGGCTGGTAGTAGTCCCCAGAGGCCGAAAATAGCGAAAAACCTCCCGTCGTGATTTTTTCATGACTCGAGGGGGTCTGGGTCTGGAGAGATGGAACGCTCTGGGGCCATTTCCAACTCTCGAGGCCGCAGTCCCGTGGAGGTCCCTGCCTGCAGGGTCTCCCTCGGAGGAGCACGGTGGACTCTGGATGCCCAAACCCATGCTGGCAAGCCAGGAGACACCTCGAGGAGGAGGAGGAGGAGGAGGAGGAGAAGGAGGAGGAGGAGGAGGAGGAGGAGGAGGAGGAGGAGGAGTTGGACGAGGAGGAGGAGGAGGAGGCGCACGACGGCGACGACGACGACGACGACGACGACGACGACGACCCAGACCTCCGACATGGCGATGTTGTACTGACGCGGCCCTCGGGCCTCTCCTCTCTTTCCTCAGGGCCCTTCATTATCTCAGGGCCTATTTTGAGCGCCCCATGGCCCGAAACTTGGCCTACGTCGACGACGACGCGGGCGATGACGACCACGACGACCGAACCGACGACGAGGACGCCCCATAAAGTCTGATTATCGGAGGCGGGAGGAGGAGGAGGGAGGAGGAGGAGGAGGAGGAGGATGAGGAGGAGGGGGAGGAGGAGGAGGAGGAGGAGGAGGAGGAGGAGGAGGAGAGCAAGGAGGAGGAGGAGGAGGAGAACAAGGAGGAGGAGGAGAACAAGGAGGAGGAGGAGGAGAACAAGGAGGAGGAAGAGGACGGTGGAGCGAGAAGGAGAAGGATGCGGAGGGGGAAGGAGCAGGGTGGAGAGGAGCAGGACGATGGAGGGAAACGAGGGGACGCAGCCGAACAGACCGAACCGCGGACACCCTTGGTGATCCTCGACATGTGGCTTTCAGATCGGTAAATACTCGGGTCACCGGCAACCGTTCCGGACCATTCGGGCATCCCCGGAACGCTCTCAGCGAGGCGCGCAGCTGCTGCAGAGCATCCCGAGGCTGTGATGCCGCCGAGATGCGGCGAAGCCCCACCCTTTCGGGACGGGGGGGAAAAGAGTCGAGAGTTTCGCGGCCACTGCAGGGGATTCGACTCGCGGCCCTGGGCGGTGCCCTCCTCCGGACGAGCCGCCGCTGGAGGCGGCAGCGGTCGACTCGTCCCCGGAGGAGCAGACTGGCGCGACCTCGCGGCGGCGGGAGCGAACACAACGACGAGGACAACGCCGACGACGGCGAGGGCGAGGACGAGGTGGCCCTTCTCTGGCGGCTCGAAACAATCTGGCGTCCCGAAAGATTCTGGACGGAGGTTTTTCGTAGTTTTCGGCCTCTCGGGGCCCTCGCCGTGCCTCGGGACCGTCACACGACGGACGCCTGATGTCTAGGAAAGGGGCTATGGGGGAGGGGGGGGCTTCCTAGCAGGAGGCTGCTTTGTAAAGGCTGCTTTTTTAGGGCACCGGCGCGAGGCCCGCGTCTTCTATGAAGCAAGGGTGCTTCTAAGAAACCTGAAGGGGCCCTGGGACACACAAATAAATACACACAAATAAAACTATTCCCCATGTTTTCCCATATTTTCTGGGTTTTTGTCCCCCCCCCCACTTCCCATAATTTCCCATATTTTCTGGGAGTCGACGATTAATTGTGTCTGTGTGTTTTTTCCCCTCCTGAAAACCTTCCCCCTCACCCGGCCTCCCCTTGCGCGTGGTCGACTCTTTTGGGCCTCCAGCCGGCTACACGCGAGGAGGGCCCTGTGTAGTGAAGTGCGTGGCCTTCGGCGCGTGGCGTCGGGGTCAGTGCGCGCGACGAAATGCGCGACATCAGCGCCTTGCTGCGCGTTTGGGGCCTGCCCCCCCTTGCGTTATAGGTCGGGCATGTCCCCCATACAGGCGGATTTCGGACGAACACAGACACCTCAGAAAGACAACGCACAAAACAAATGATCCCCTCCTCCTCCTCCTCCTCCTCCTCCTCCTCCGCCTCCTCCTCCTCCTCCTCCTCCTCCTCCTCCTCTTCCCCCTCCTCCTCCCCCTCCTTCCCTCCTCCTTCCCTCCCCTCCCCCTCCTCCTCCTCCTCCTCCTCCTCCTCCTCCTCCTCCTCCTCCTCCCGGTGGCACACGCCTGCCGGGGCTGCGAGACACACCCGGCCGGCCGACGGCCTCTGGAGGCCACGGCGACACACACCCGCGGGCGGGGAGCGCGGGTGCGGCCCGCCCAGGAGGCCGTCGTTAGAGGCCTCCAAGATGGGGTCGGAGTAGATGGGGTCGGAGGATCGCGCCGCATCGGCGATGCTTCGGCGATGCATCGGCGATGCATCGGCGATGCACAAGCGATGCATCGTCGACGTGGGCGATGCATCGGCGACGTCGACGTGAAGAAAATCGGGCTCCACATGGAGCGGCATCGGCGATGCATCGGCGATGCGGCGCCATCCTCCGACCCCATCTACTCCGACCTCATCTAGGAGGCTTCGAGTCGTTCGAGTAGGGCATCGTTCCCCAATCAGCGCTTGCACTGGAGGGGTCCTGGCGGAGGTTGAAAGATTCCCAGAGATCCAACGCATTGAAAAAATCAGGACGGAGGTTTTTCTCAGTTTTTGGCCTTTCGGGGTCCTCGCTGGGCCCCGGGACCGTCAAAAAAGGACTCGGGATGAGAAACCCGTCCTGGGGAGAGGGTCGGGACTTCCAGGGACCCTGCATTGAAAAAATCACGACATCGGATCTCTGGGTTCCCCAATCAGCGCTTGCACTGAAGGGGTGATGGCGGAGGTTGAAAGATTCGGCGCGAATTTCCCGCCGATTCTGGTGGCAAACTGCGTTCCCGGGTGCCCCGTTCCGGGTTCCCGGGTTACCGGCTAGTGGTTCCGGGCCGATTTCGGTGGGTTCTGGGTTCCCGGGCTCCCAGGTTCCCGGTCGATCGCCTCAGCGAAAACCATCCACTGATTGGGGTTGTTCTCTGGTGCAATCTACAGAATTGATGTACCCCAAGATTGATTTTCGCGTCGAGTTGTACGTCGGATGTGCGAAGATCTTCTCATATTCTGCGCATGTCTCGTGGACGCGACGGACGAATCAGTTTTGGGGTAAATCACTTCTGTAGTCGACCCCCTACTCGAGTCGTGGCGGGACCAGGGCCATCACTTGAGCCACGATAGTACAGTCGGCTCGTATCATACGGACGCACGGCAAGGATGCAAGGGCCGTGGAAGACCCTTTCGAGGCCCTGCGAGCGGGGCACGGCCGGCGAAACTGGCCAGGGATGGGCCGTTAACCCCTGTACCCTTGGGAACGATGCCCCTCCTTACCCAGAGATCCGATGTCGTGATCTTTTCAATACGGGGTCCCCGGAAGTCCCGACCCTCTCCCCGGGGCCGGTTTTTCGCCCCGAATCGCTTTTTGACGGTCCCGGGGCCCGGCGAGGGCCCCAAGAGGCCAAAAACTGGGAAAAACCTCCGTCCTGATTTGTTTTCAATGCGTTGGAGCCCTGGGGATCTGACGCGAGATGGCATCGCGACCTTACGCGGTGGCTCACGCTAGCCGCCAGCGCGAAGCGCTGCACTGCGGATATGGAGCCGCCAGCGCGAGGCGCGAGGCCAAAAACCGAGAAACACCTCCGCCTTGATTTTTGCCAATACGCTGGATCTCTGGGCCTGCGCGCGGCAGCAGCGACCCTAGGCGGCTTCTGTCGGGCGTGTCCCCCTACAGGGACTTTCGACGAAAAATGCAAAATACCCCAAACGTACTCCAAAAATATAGAAAAAAAGTAATAATAAAAAAAACTAGTCCCCAGACAATGTTTTGACTATTGTTGGGCTATTTTTGGTGGGTAACTTTTTTTTTTCTGTTCGTCGTTTATTCCCCTGTAGGGGGACAGGCCCGACTTGACCCCGGGCAGGGGCGTCCCTCCCGTGGCGAGGCCCCACGGGGGGTCCGCGGCGGGAGGCCCGGGCCGCGGCGCGCAGGCCGGCTCCGCGGCGCCCCCCGTGGGCTCGCGGCCGGCGGCCCCTCTGGCGAAGGGCCACCCCTTGCACGCAGGTCGGGCGTGTCCCCCTACCGGGGGATCTTCGACGAAAAATAAAAGATACAAAAAAAAATAGTCTCCAGATTTTGGTGTATTCTGTATGTTTCGTCGAAAATGCCCCTGTAGGGGGACGGGCCCCGACCTAACCCTTGCACTCAGGTCGGGCATGTCCCCCTCCAGGCGGATTTTGGACGACAAAGTCTAAAACATGCCTAAAAATGATATTTCAAAACTGCTAGACCGTAGTCTCAACACCGTCCCGGGACTAGTTGTTTTCGTGGCTATTTCTGCATGTTCCCCCCGAAGAGGGACAGGCCCGACTTACACCTTACACCCGAACTTCCGATGCCCAGTTTTTTTTCGGCACGGGGCCTCCGCACCTCCGCCACTCCCCCGGGCCCAGCCGTTCGCCCTGAATGCTCTCGCGGGCGGCCCCGCTGCCCGCCGAGGGCTCCCCGGACGCAGGAGCTTGCGGCAGAACCTGCGCCTTGGCTCTCGCGACAGGCTGGGCGAAGCGATCGACGATGTGCTGTGTGCCAAGCAGGAACTGGACCGACTACAGCAATAAGCGCGACGAGAAGGAGCAGTACCAGGGCAAACTGAAGATGAGGACAGGCCACAGGCGCACACCGAAAACAATCGGGAGGACTTTCCAGAGATGTCTGCTAGACGCGTCGGACCCTTCCGCGGAGCCGGGTCATCCCCGCCCCCAGCGCGGCCTCGTCGCCCGGGGCCTCCTCGTCCGCCGCCGCCGGCGTGCGCGCTGAGGGAGCGCTCGCGGCCTCGAGCGGCTGCTTGGCGGGCCGCCGGAGCCTCACCGTGCAGCCGGCGGGGTCCAGCGCGTCCAGGCGGTCGCAGGACCTATTCGCCCGAGGCCTTCTCCGATGGTGTTTCCCTCTCTCCTCCGCTGGCCCTCTCAGCCCCCGCCCTTCCCCTCCTCCTCTCCCCCACCCCCGTCTCTTGGAGGCCTGGAAATGGGCACCAACACCAAGACACGGGGCTGCCTCCACAGGGTGGAGAAGATCCTAAAATTCGGTGTTGGTGGTAATATTTCGGTCACCTTGGAAACCAGAATATTACCACCATCGCCGAGATCGGGATTCTCTTCCCCCGGTGGAGGAACGCCGCCGATCTTGGTGTTGGTGTCAACCTCTAGGCCTGCGACTCCCCGCCTCCTCCACTCCCGCTCCATATTACTGTATACTCCCACTCGGCCACCGAGCCTGTCGATGCGGACCCAATCAGGGACCTTCCATCCGAAGTGCCTGCTCAGCCCAGCATGGACATCGTGTCGTCCATGTTGCAGCATGCGTGGCAGGAATGGCGCGCGGCGCACATCCCGCGCGGAAGGACGAAATGTCGCTCTCGCCCCTGCACCGCGCTCATTTTTCAAGAGCGTTGAGCTCCCGCTTGGTCGCGGCGGACATTTGTCGCATGGATTTTCGTCGACGCACGGGCGGACGGAAACGTCGTTCTCGCAACGGCGCCGCACACACTTCTCCTGACAATGGTGTTCCCGCCTCGACGCGGCGCACGTGTGTCACCTGCTAATGTTGGGAGGCTCGCGCGAATGCACGACTTCTCGCCCTTGCCCAAGCTCAGCGCGCATGTGGTCGGGAATGTTTGTTCCAGCGCGGGTGCGGAACATGGCTCGTTCGCCGAGACGCATGACAACGACAGCGGAAGCAGGGCCGCGCCAGAGTGGGCGAAATGCCGACTTCGCCCACACGCCGCGCAGCTTGTGAGTGAAAGTCGCAATGTTGTGTCAGCGCGGCGCATGCTTCGTGTTCGCTGCACGCGTAACTTTCGCCAAGTCGTTGGAAACGCCCCCCCCCCAAAACAAAAACGTACTGTTGCACGCAACGCTAGAGACCATGAATGAACGATCGCACCTCTCGCCACCGACCCACCCGCGCCAGACCCACTACTTCAGCTTACCCAAGTATTTGGTTGCTCCAGATTTTTCGATGCGTGGGCCCCGGTGGTCTGGACCACTTCCCTGGGACCCGTGTTTCGTCCCGGGTCGTTCGTTGACGGCAGAAAGGCCCTGCAGGCCGAGATCGGCCTAAAACCGCCCGCTCCAATGTTTGCTGGAGCGTCGGATCTTCGGGTAGATTCCCCCCTTCCTCCCCCCTGGACGTCTCCACGCAGGCCACGTGCTGACAGGACGACAGGAAGCCCATCTCGGCCCCGCCGTGCCCGCTCCTCGCAAAGCGCCCCCGCCCCCCGCGCGCGCCTCGAGGCCTCGAGCGCCGCCTCGAGCCACGAGCCGAGGGGTGCCACCGTGGCGTAGTCGTCGGATGATGTAGGCGGCGGTGGCGATGGCGATGGCGATGGCGATGTTGACGGCAACGATGGGGGTAGTGATGATGAGGATGGTAATGATGATGCTGATGCTGATAGTGGTGGTGACGATGCTGGTGGTGTTGGTGATGATGGCGGCGATGGGTGATGGTGATGGTGCTGATGACGCTGATGCTGGTGATGGCGACGATGGTGGTGATACTGTGGATGATACTGGTGGTTGTGATGTTTGTGCCGGCGATCGTGGTGATACCGCGGATGACGACAGTGATGACGAGGATGCTGGTGGTGCGGATGGCGATGGCGGCGGTGATGCTGACAATGATGATGGTACTGATGCTGATCGCCCGTACCTGAAGGGCAGCAGTCCACCAGCACGCTGCGTGGTCAGTGGCGTGCACAACTGCTGCTGCCGCGGCCCGTTGCTTCCAGGGGTCTGCAGGTGCTTGGTGAACCACCGAAGCCCTGAGCTTATGGTAGGCGTTGGAACAGAGCACGGCTGGGCGCATCGCGGCTAGGCGGCAAAGCGCACAGTCTGCGCAGTTGATTTCGCCATCGGCTCTGCAGCCGAGAATTAAAAGGGGCGAGGAAGGAGAGGAAAGAAGCTCAGCGAGGACACGGCAGGAAAGGTAGTGAGAGATGGGATCCGCCTCGTCGCGGCATCCGAAGAGGCGCGCGGAGACGCCGCAAACGCGCGCGCGGCGCAAGGTCGCCCGCCCTCCTGCGACGGTCGCGCGCAGGCCTCATTGCCGGGCTGGCTCGAGCGCGCGCGGCGCAGCAGGACAGCCCCCCCGCCCGTCGCCCAACGCCCCGCCAATCGTCGCGGCGAAGCCCCACGCATGCAGTCGTTCGGAGATCATGATCTCAAACGAAGGAGGAAAGACGGGGGCGCGAAGCGGGGAGGTGAGGACGCGCTGACCCTGTCCATTGCGGGCTTCCCCCGCAGCCGCGGCCCGCGCGTCGCGCGCCGCCGCCAGCGCGGGGCGCCAGCTCGCAGCCGGGATGCTCTGCGAATGCGGCGACTCGGCAAGATTGGCAAAGCGCCGCCGAAAACCCCGCTCTACTTCCCAGCGCGGCGCGCCCCGCTGGCCCCGAAGCCTGCTAGCGTGCGGAAACGCCTGAACGGCCGTCTCCGACCACTCTTGCAGCTGCGGGCGCAAGCCTCCACGGGCGCGGTGGCCGCGCCTCCAAGGGCCGGCGGCGTTCGCGGCAGGCGCAGAATCAGGGGGCACCGAGCCATGCTGCATGGGAGATGACAAGTTAGGCTTGCGGAACGCGTTAGGCGGGAGCCCCATGACCTTTCGGGGAGGGGGGAGGGGGCGCATTTCCCATTGCGCAAAACAGCGCGCGGCAACGGAGACAACTGCGACAGGTAGCGTAAAGTGGGGGGAGCCGCGCTGTTGGGCAGGGCAGGGCAGGCAGCGCGCGGGATGTCGCGCGCGCGACCCCGACATTTGCGAGCGGCTTCGGCCTGGGCTCCCAGCTCAGTGGCCGTGGGTCCGGACTGAATGCCAAGGTATTCGGCCTGGCCCTCTATCTTTGAACCGCGCCGTGCAGGGGCGCGGCCTTGGAGGGGCGAGTGTCTGCGTTGCTTGGCGGCAGCAGTGGGGCTCGACCATAGCGGCACAATGACTGTCTTGCTCGGCTGCAGTCTGAGCTTGGAGAGGGTCTCCGCTCTTTCGAAGACGGGATAGGCGCGCGTTGGATCTCCCAGGCAGGGCTGCAGAAGCCTAGCGTCGTCGGCGCATCCTCCGACCACCCCCCGCAGCGACTGCGACGACGCCTCCGCCCCCAGACGCGTTCAAAGCGGGTCCATCGCCATGGCCAGCGCCGAGCCAGACAACGGGCAGCCTTGCATTGCGCCTGAGCGAAGATACAGCATGAACTGTGCAGAGCCTTGCAGCATGGCGAAGCTGCGAAGGACAAGGTGAAGAGACGCCATGTGGTTGAGGTGCCCTGGCGGGGCTCCAAGCCTCTCGAGAATTTCGCGCGGCTAATCGCGGCCGGGGGGATGGGGAGGCAGCGCGAAGGCGAGCGCCGCAAAGACAAGGGCCTCCACTGCAGCGGCTCGCTGACGCCAGCAACTCGAGCCGCTGTGTCAGTTGCAGAGCACTATGGAGGGCGATGCGACCAGTCTCAAATCGCTGCTGAGCCGCGCGCGCGGGGGCACGCACTAATCATGCGAGCTTCTGTTACGCTGCAGAGGCCAGGGTCTTGGCGCCCGAATTACGCGCAGAGAAGGGGCCCAATATGCGAGGGGCTCCGAGTGCACTCGCAGGCGTTAAGGGGCCCACTTCCTTTGGGCAAGAAGGAGAACAGGAAGTCGCCCAAGGGCTCTGGCGCGCGGTGGCCAGCCATGATGCGCTGGGCGAGCCCGTGGAGGACGCTGAGCTGGCCTCGGAAACCGTCCGAGCCTCGTTGGGGGGCCCGTCGGGGCCAGGGGCGCTGCGTCGCAAGCGCTCGAGCGTGTTCTGAAGGTCCAAAAACACCGGGGACCTCTAAGTCGGCCATCTCGTAGGCCGGGTAGCGCGCCTCCACGGGGTGCTGGCCGGTTGAGCCCGAAAGACCGCGCGCCAATGATTGCGGAGTGCCTCCACGATCATCGGGGGTCTCGGGCGACGGCGCCCTGGGAGTCCGAGCGGGAGCGCCCAGGTCGAACCCCTGCAAAAATCAATCAACGCCCACGCGGTCCCCATAGCATGGCGCGGCGGCGAATAGCTTTGATAACCTTGGATTGTCCAGCTGCTGCCAGATGTTCTCCTGATCGAAAGGTGCTCTGAGCGGCTTCGGCAGCAGTGCGATGATTAGCTTGTAGCTCCGCTGAATGCATGGACCGACACTGTCGGCGGGAGGCATCGGGACCCTTGCATGCTGTGATATTGCGCCCGTCTCGAGCACGAGTGCCTCCCGCTGCTGCTCATCTCGCGCCTGCTTGAGCGCCCCTATCATGAACTCCTCCATGTGCACCCAATGGGGGACAGGCGAGAACCTCTGTACACCTGCAGCCGCGACCAGCCCATCGAGCAGAACCTGATACCTTACGTCGCTGAACATCACATGAGGGATAGAATGGACAGCAGCGTTTCCTGGAGCCTTGTTCCGCAGCGCGGGGTGCAGCATCGAGTGGTCGCCGAGCCTGCCCTGCGACGTCCTCGTCGGGTTCGCATCAACGTTGAAAAATCATCCGTAGCCAAAAGGAAATGCTTTGGAATCGCAACCAAAGCCCTGCCAATCGCAGACGCCGCGCAATGCCGTCGACTGAAGTGCGCAGGGATGTCCGCTCGCACCTCCTGAACCAGGACCAAACAGTGCTCCCCAACAAACTGCATTCGGCTAATGCGACCATTCCGTCGGCAACGGATTAGTCACCGGCGTTGGCTCGTCATGGCTGAGGGGCTCCCTCGCGAATGTTGGGGCCGCCCATAACAATGAGCGTCCTGTGCAGCGTGTCGTCTTGGTTCCAGCCGACCGCATCCTTCCGCGCATTGGCGATCGCTTGCTTGAGCTGCGGGGCAGTGCCATATATGCACGAGCCCATGAGTTCCGTGGAGCTGCGCCCGCAAGGGCTCTCAACATGAAGCAAAGCTGCTCTGCCAGGAACAAGAATTCCAATTTGTACACGAGGCCGCTGTTAGGGGGGAGCATCTCGTGGCCATGGCAATTTACATGCTACGCCACCCGCGCGTGAAATGCGAGGCTTGCGAATGCCAGACCTTGTAAGGGGAACGTGGATGAGCCAATCAGCACCTCGAGTTGTTGACGCACGCCATGCGTCTCCTGCGACATGATGAGCGCGCCGCGTTTCATGCACCTCTCAAGACGGCAAAGTTTCACGCTGCACCACCATGCGTGGTAACAGCACAGGCCTCTGGCATTCCATGAAGCCCGCTGAGCAGACGCCGTGGGAAGTACCTGCCAGGGGCACCAGCGGGTGCTAAATATACCACAATGAAGTATCCGTGGCTCGGACTAGCCGTTGGAACCGCGCGTTGGTGGATTGCGAATCAATCCCAATCCTGTCGATGGCGGCGCCGCCCCACTTCAGTCGTGTAGCTGCAGTCGCGCTGTCGCCGACTTCGAAGGAGACGATGGGGACGGAGTCGTACGATGTGATCCCGTCGCCACCCACCTTCCGGGGAAAAAATGACCTGCGTGTCGCTCCACGAGTAGTCGAACAAGCTTCTTTGTCTGGAACTCGCGCCTGAGCGTTTTGGGGCTCCTGTCCGCGTTGATGTACAGCGGGGTGGCGGCTCCCAGGCCCGTCGCACTTCGGATGGTTGCACTGCGGAGGGCGAGCCAAATTTGTGGAGGCAGGGACCTGGTGGGCGATCCCAGACCGCGAGCGCAATCATGTCCAAGGGCGGGTGGGGGGCCTTCGCCATGGCCAGGGTGGCCTGGATGCGCTCGGCGTCGGAACGGAGCTGCTGCTGCTCTTGATCGGCCACGCAAGCACGCTGGCTGATGTCCCGAACCGTGGTGTCCAGGGCGCCGACGCGATAGTCTTGTTGGCGGATTTGGCCCGGAATGGTCTGGAATTTCGTGGCGTGGCGGTGCCACCCATAGGCGTTGGAGCGACGGCAGCCCAAGGATCGCGCACCCGAAGCGGGTCTGGAAGCCGAGGGTGCTCGGATTCTGGGAACGTAGGAAAGCTTTTGACCTCGTTCAGCAATTGGTGTTCATCACGTCGTTGTCGTTGAAGTTGCTCCCGTCGAGCCTGCGACGCGGCGCCTCCTAAACTGCCTGCGAGCCCTTCGGAAGGGTGCCGACCGCCTCGTTGATGTAGCTCGCGCTCCATCGTAGTACGCCCTTGTCAGTCTCGCCGCGGTTCTCGACTAGCCACGGGTGTCGTGGAAACCTCTCGCCGATGACCCCTATCGCTACACGATCCAGCGGCCTCTGCATGCCGGCGCCGATGGGCCCTGCGAACTGGTATCGCAGGACTGGGAGAATAAGAACTGAACCCCCACCCGCTGCGCGAAGCCATGCTGAAAACAATCGGCGCCGTTCTGCACTCACGAGAGCTGAAACAGCGAGAATATGGAGGGTGTCCGTCCGAAGAGCAGGCACCGAGAAGATGGAATGCTGAAACAGCGATGATGTGGAAAACAAAACGCTGGAATGGGTGGCAGCTCACCCCTGATTGTTGCTGCAAGCGCATGGGCCAACACGTCGAGACGACTGGATGGGAGCCTATCCCGCTTAGGCAGTTATGAAATGACCATCTTGACCTCGAGCCAAAATAGCTACGGATGGTGCTGAATATGATGATGAGGATGATGATGATGCTGACGATGATGGGGATGATGCTTATGCTGATGATGATGACAATTCTTGCGATCTTGGTGGTGGCGGCGATGTTAACGAGGATGGCGGCGAAGATGTTGCGGAAGATGCTGATGAGGATGATGATGGCATGGGTGGTGATAAGATGTGATGGCAATGTTACGTGGCGGATGAGGCGGATGGCATCATGAGGAGGGTAGATATGTCAAGGAGCAAATGATGATGAACATATTGATGTGGACGCGGGTGTAGAGGTGAGAGGGTCACCGCAGGATGCCAAGTCCCCACAAGAGGTCTCCAGGGAACGCTTCTCACAAGGAAGATGATGAGGGAGACGTGAGACGGAACCCCGATCTAAAGGGCAAATCTGGGCAACGACGACATGCACCGCCATTCCTTCCCGTCGTCATCCTACTGAGGCCTCTGACAGCCCCCTTGCAGACTGCCAGACATATCTGGGGACCTCCGCAGAAGCTAGGAGGAGGATCGAGATTGTAACCCTGGAGCCGTTGCTGCCAGGTGGCAATGTCAACTGAAGGGGAAAAGGGAGAATGAAGCTAGAGCCGGAGGGAGAGGAGGAAGAGAAGGTTGGATGCCGAAAAAGAGGTGGAGGAGGAGGAGGAGGAGGAGGAACAGGAGGAGAAGGACGGGGAAGAGGAGGTGGACGAAGAGGAGGAGGAGGAGGAGGAGGAGGAGGACGAGTGTAAAATAAAGAGTCATCAACGATGTTGGAATCAACCCTCCCCCCAAGCTCCGTCTTCATAGGCCCCACAACGGTTCATGTCCATTGAGGGAACTTCCTCGCTGGAAAACACTCGTTTGAAGATCCTGAATCATGCCAAAACATTTTTCTCGGGACTGTAATGCCATGTATCAACCTGACTGCTGCGTCTTGACGATCCGGAATAGTGCGAAAGCGCCAGTTTTGGGACTTCGACACCGCGAACCAACATAACTGTTGCACCCGCATAATCCTGAACCCTTCCAAATACCTGGGGGTCCGTGAAATTCTTCCGAATTCTGGAAACGAATGGGCGCGGCGCTAAAGCGAGAACCACATCTTGAAAACTGCCCTCCCTCAATCCGTGAAGCTCTTGCAAATGTTCAAAACGAATGTGCGCGGCGCTAAGGCGAGAGTCACATTTTGAAAACCACCCGCCCTCAATCCGTGAAACCGTTGCAAATGTTTAAAATAAGTGTGCGCGGCTATCAAGCGAGAACCACATTTTGAAAACTACCCGCCCTCAATCCGTGATACTATCGCAAATGTTCAGAAGGAATGTGCGCGGCGCAAAAGCGAGAGCCACGTTTTGAAAACTACCCGCCCTCAATCCTTGAAACGCTTGTAAATGTTAAAAACGAATGTGCGCGGCGTTGAATCAAAAACCACATTTTGAAAGCCTTTCGCCCTCAATCCGTAAAACTCTTGCACATGTTGAAAGCGAATATGCGCGGCGCGACGTTGAGAGCCACATTTTGAACATCACCCGCCCTCAATCCGCGAAGCTCTTGCAAACTTTTCATGCGAATGCACGCGAAAAGGCGAGAGACACGTTTTGAAAACCGACCGCCCTCCATCTGTGAAGCTGCTGTCACCGTTTAAGCTTCGGAATCATAAACGGTCAGGAAATCTCAGGCGAAACGCCCGGCCCGCCCTACAAAATGGCCTCGGGGCGCGACAGGGAGAAGGTATCTAGAAGGAAAAGGAATGGAGGAGGAGGAGGAGGAGGAGGAGGAGGAGGAATGGAGGAGGAGGAGGAGATGGAGAAGGAGGAGGAGGAGGAATGGAGGAAAAATGGAGGGGAGGAGGGGAGGGGGGGAGGAGGAGGAGGAGGAGGAGGAGGAGGAGGAGGAATGGAGGAGGAATGGAGGAGGAATGGAGGAGGAGGAGGAGAAGGAGGAAGAGGAGGAGGAGGAGGAGGAGGGGAAGGACGAGGAGGAGGAAGACGAGGAGGGAGAGGAGGGGGAGGACGAGGAGGAGGAAGAGGGGTTCGGAGGAAGACCTGCGAGAATCTGCGATCCATGGGCCGCGCGGTCGAATGGCCCGCCGCGCGCCCCGCGCACCGCCGCTGCGTAGCTCGTGGCGGCTCGCGCGCGCCCGCCACGCGACCGCGCGGCAGGCTCTCGGGAGCGCAGCACCATGGTGAGGCCCACGTCGCCGCAGTTGCGGGTCGCGGGGCCCCCGAGGAGCGGAAACCCTCATTGAACGGCCCTCACCAGGGTCAAGGTCGGCGGCGTTGCCCGCCACAAACCCACGGCAGACCCTGCAGCGCAGCTCCATGGAGTGGCCCACCTGGCCGCACTTGTCAGTCGGGGAGGCTTGTGGAATAGGCGCTCCCACCCAACTGATCATTCCAGGACCAGGGTCAGTTGTCGCAGTCTCAGTCGCAGGCTTGCCCATCAGCTGGTTTGCGCCCTGTGGACGTGCGCCGCATCTGGCCACCGCTCCGTGGCAACGCTCCGTTTTGCCAGCTTTGCCCCGCTGCGGTGGTAGCCCGTTGCGAAGCCTCTTGAGCGCCGTCGTTCCGTTGGCCGCGGTGTTTCTCTCACAACGTTCCTTTGCCATCAGCATGATTCGTCCACGTACATATTCGGAATGCACTGCGGCCGGCGCGCAGCTTCAGCACCATAGCGACTGCGACGCGGTGGATCGGACGCATGCGCTACGAGGGGCCCAGGGGGCGGCGCAGCACATGAGGTAGGATGTCGGGCAGCCGGCAGAAAAAGCGACGCTGCCCATCAGAACGCAGGGGGGAGGTGCTGCGATCACCCGCGAGATGTGCGGGAACATCGAAAACACCAAGCTCGAGAAGCCAGCTCCAACGCCGAAGTATGGGGCTAACAGCCCAGGTAAATCTGCACGTGGCCCCCAGCGGGGGCCAGCGCCCCCAAAAACGCTGCAGGCTCAGCTGCTCAGCTGCTGGGACGGACAGCTCTACATCAACTGCGCCAAAGAAATCGTCACGTAGATCTCTTTCGCCCCAGTAGCTGAGACACCCGACGCTTTCCTCGAATAAATGGTCGTGCCCGGGACGTCTGGTCGAGAAATATACCCCCGAAAGATTGACATGGCTCTGGTCTGAACAGTGGTGCCACCGTTCTGATTGTTGGCGAACCCCACACCAACAACAACAATGCAGTCATACACCCGGGGGTGCGTAGGACACTGAATTCCCGTGCAGGTGGGCACTTCAAATGCGTCCTCGTTTGAGGCCAGATGGAAACTCCACGTGAGCAGACTTCAAACAGTGATTGGGCGGAGGGGAGGAAGGAGGAGGGGGAAGGGGAGGGAGGGAACAAAGGGAGGGGGGGTACTATACTACATTCTGCAAGTCAGCACTGTCCACAAATAACTTCCAATCGGCGTCCGATTTGATCAGGCGCTCAGCGGTTGCTGCGCTCCCTGCCAGAAACGCAGCCATGCGGTACACGTGCGGCACCCATTCCGACCTCGGCCGCCCGACTTTCTCAACGTGCCGGTTGGTTGCTGGTGTCAGCGCGCGCGGGTAAAAAGTTGAAGCGCGGAACAGGCTTCCCTCCGGCGCGCGGGCCGCTGCTGTTTAGTTAGGGTCTGCGTCAAAGGCCTTTGCTGCGTGAGCTGCGGGACAGTTCCGCTGCTAACTCTAGACAGAACAGCCGGGGCTACACCCCAGATCTCTCAGAGGCATCTGCAATGGAAGCCGCTCAGACGCGACGTTCTGCAACATTGAGCCACGTGGTCGCGAGGCCGTACGTCAACATGCTCAGAACAGTACTGGTGTATATCAGGATGTTGCGTGCACGGCTCAATCCAGGATGCTTCCGCACTTTTGAAGCGCCTGGAAATCTGCGCGCGCATTCCCAATCCTCCTCGTCAGTTCCCGGACAGGGTACCCATCGTCAGAAATGAGAGCCCGAAGATACACCGCGTCTGCTTGAGGCTCGACGACAGACCCGTTAGAATGCTGAATGGCGTCGGCGGACCGGATGCTCAAAAACTGAAACCTGTCGGCGTGAAGGTCCATGCCGTGCGACTTGCCTGCTCGTGCAACCGCTCCGAATCGTCTTCCCACGGTTGCTGCGCTTCTGCTCATGAGGAGCGTATCGTCCGCATGCAATAAGGCAGAGAGCCCACCATCTGCCCAGAGAGCACGATCTGCCTGTGGAAGTGCGTCTCGTGCATCTTGGATGATGACAGTCATGATCATGACGGACAGGAAGGGTGACAGCCGGCGCCCTTGGACTATGCTAGCAGCTTGAGGTCTCGGCGTGGATGTTGCCCCACAGTCGATGACTTGAAACCGTCTGTCGCGGTAGATCGCCCCAATCATGGAGAGAACGTGTTCTGGGAGTCCAAACCGGCGGAGTCCGTGTAGCATTGCCGCCGGGTCTATTGAGTCGAACGCATTTCTCCAGTCCAAAGGCGTCGCGTGAAACTTTCCAGTCTTCGCTGCGTGTGCCAATTCTACCTGTCTCCGCAAAATAAATATAGCATTTTCTGCGTTGTAACCAGACCGGAATCCAAATTGCGCGCTCGAGAGTCGCTCCTCTACACCCCCTTCCACCAGACGCGCGTGCAGCAATGAAGCAAAAATCTTATAGCCGATCACGAGCAAACTGATAGGTCTGAGATTCGAGCAATCGCCCGTCTGGCCTTTCCTGAAGATCGTTGCGACGCAAGCGGTATGCCGCTCTTTGGAACACGCTTGGGCCGCCAGCATAGGTTCACCAAGTACGTGATTTGCTCAGCGACCTCTGGCGAAACAGCTGATACTTGCCAGCACTCCGGTCGTGAACCGTCTGGGCTTGGCGCCTTGCCGGCCTTCAACTTTCCTGAAGTTGATTTCGCTTCTACCTGCGTGAAGTCGCCAGCGTCGGTCGCCAGAGAGGCCCCCGATGGCGGCCTCACTGCACTGTCTCCGCGTAGGTCGCCATGACATCCGCCCTCCAGTCACTGCTCACCAGAGACCCAAACGCATCTCGTAGGCGGCCCTGTCTGCGCCCTCGCGGGCGCCGTGCATTGCGCGCGCCTTCCCAAGACCCATTGGCGACCATGTTGTCTAGATATGCGCTCTTACCTTGCTTCGCCGCTCTCCGCGCTTCCTTGTGCAATCGCTTTTGCATGTCATGGTCGCCCGCTGCTCGGGCCATGGCCCGTTGCTGGGCAAGATGAACAGTTGTCGTTGAAATCCATGGACGCCTCGGCTTGATCTCCTCTTCTGGAAAAGCATCTCCAGCGATCGCAAGACACCCCCCAATGCCCTGCCATGCGTCTTCGACGATGCCACACGCATCGAGGTCCATGCAGTTACCTACGCAGGCCGAAATATTTTCCTCTTGAGCCCCACATGTCGGAAGCGACGCGCCGATCCCTTCTGTTCTCCTCCCACCTCCTCTTGCCTCTTCCCTCATCCTTCACCTCTTCATCCTGGGAAGACCCCCTCCCCCGTAGAATCATAGCATTGGCCTACAGATCCACAGCTCCGTGGGTAGCATGATGCTTCACCTGCGGTGGCCCGCGGATCCTATTTCCCCTAGGTCCCGGATGTTAAGTATTATTATTATTATTATTATATATATATATATATATATATATATATATATATTCCCGGGCAATAAATGGATCCATCGTTTTTCCACGCACAGGAAATTGGATCCGCGCAACACAGAAATATGATCCACGAAACTCTCCCACACCCGAAAAGGGATCCAAATTGATCCATTGGCGTTGTCATATTTAAGTCCACCAGGAAAAACTTTCGGCCTGGGGATGTAGTCTCAGCGACAAACATGTCCACTAATTGTTGCAGTAGGCGCGGGCGTCGCACGAAGCGTAAATATTTCTTGGGCTTCCTCTCTGGCAGGGCTTGCCCCCGCCCGCCCTCCAGCAAACGCGCACTCGATCAGGAAATGCCGAGTGGCAATCGTGGCGCCCTGGCGGCTGCAAGCCCTCTGGATGGAGTCGTTCCCATGATGAGCCAGAACAAGATCTCGCATTGAAAACTTATCCGGTGTACGCGGAGCCATTGGCGCAGTCCCCGGCTCGACGCACGCCGCCTTGTTGCTCAAAGTCTGTACAACACTCAAGAGGAAGATCGCGATTTGGACATTCAGCTCGGTTGGCGTCTTCCCCCCTCGCATGTGCGAACGCCCACGACGTCTTCTTCCCCCAGTTCTTGGCGCCCGATTCGAGCGCTGACGTCGCCGAACATGTACTTGTAGCCATTTACAGATGTAGCCGTCACAACGAATCCAGATCTGCACATACTTGCAAACGCTCTGGCAATGGCTTCAAGTTGAGCCCCGCACCGACACCAGGCCTTAAACTAGCACCCCCATGTCTCGATGTCCACGCATCTGCTCTGCAACGTGGGTCCCCATCCAACGCGTATGATCCGAATGTCGCTGCGAGTGGTGGAGCCGTGGATGAACGCGCGGCTGCTCTCTCACGGCCCGCTGGGCTTTCCCGGCGCGCGCGCTGACCTTCGGGGCGCCCTCGAGAACAGTCCAATCTGTACAGTCGTCGCAGCTTCCCCTAGCGGCGCGTCTTGCACAAGGCTTTTATGCTGTGGAAGCGCACCCAAGCTAGCGTGCTTCGCTGCATGGGTACTCGTGCATTTTCTCCAACGCTTGCCTGCGCAGCACCTGGGGGTTGCTGGCAACGTCGACGTCGAGTTTGCGTTTGGCCTCGCGAGTGTAGAGTCAGCGCGCGCATGCACCTTGCCCTTTGCCGCGGCGCGCGCTTGCCATCTGCGAGGCAACCCGTTGCGCGACGTCGCTCGCCAGTCCACATTGCGCCGCGCCCCCTTGACTCAAGCGCCCGTGCGTCTTGCAGTCAGCCAGCTTCGAGTAGTCGTCGAACCGTCTTGCGGGAGACGGCGGCTCCCATCGTCTGCAGCGCGCCCCTGCCGCGAGAGCGCCCTCTCCCCTTCCCCAAAAACTAGTTGCCGCATGTCTCTCGCGCTGGCTTGGTTGATCTCGCTGGAGTCGAGGGCCCAGTCCTCGACTTACTTCCATGCGTCGGCTTTGATGTCCTTCTTTTCGTCTGGCTCACGTGGAGCGGTGGGATACGCGCAGCAGCTGGGCCCGTGACGGGGCCCCACCTGCCGCGCTTCCCCAGGTGCTGAAACCCCCGTGTCGCAGCCAGTCGCGAGCTGGACGACCTCCGCGCCACATTTGGACCCACTCTTCCACTCGACGGTTTGAGCATGCCGCGCCCGCTTCGCCGCCGCCATGGAAAGCAGTGCCCACTATGGCCGCGCGCCTGCCTCCCGCGACGTAGCCTGCCGCGTCCGCCGCCTGTGATCGCGCATGGGCCGCGCTCGGGCTGAGTCCGATGATGACTCGTCGCAATGCTGTTTTGCTCGAAAGCTGGCGTTGAAGAGCGATGCGGGACGCGGCGCGGGGCATCGATTGATATCGTATTTTTGCCTGGCGTCTTGGCGATCTTGATTCTCGCGGTGGCGCAATTGGGTCGGGGCGCCGATTTGCTTGATGTCGCCAGTCTCGAGTCAAGACATGCCCGCGCCAAGGTGTTCAGTGCTTTCGGGGACTTTCGGGGGCTGCCCCTGGAACGCACCTGGCCGCCCCCCCACTCTGGAGCGCAAGCCGCCCGCGAACTTTTGCGCGATAGCCCGGGGGCACCTCTGTGAATGATGTCCAGGATGATGTAGATCATGGCCTGGGCAGCGCGCTCGGCTGCCGCGCATCCCGCCGCATGTCCATTCCAACGACGCATTGGCAGCGCGTGGTCTTGGTAAGCTCGAGCCGCCCACCTGGCGAGGTGCATCAGCATGACCACGTGTGACTTGATTCCGGGTAGTCGGGTTGCGGTGCGCGCTTGATGACGCCCAAATCGACGCTGTCGCAAGAGTTCCGAAGGGCCGCGTAGAAGGCGCCGTAGAGAGCGCCCTTCAACATAGCACTGGTGTCGTCCAGGGCCATGGGCAGAAATGCCTCTCGGAGCGCCGAAGGCCCCTGGATCGCCGCATCCCGGTGCCCTGCTTGTCCCGAGCACCATCCTTGCATGCCTGTCTGCGCAAGTTCGCCCCGCGGCCGCGCTAGGAACGGTGGCAAGCTGAAGGGCCGCCCTATTCGCTCTGGTGCCACTTTATCTGCATGCATGATAGAACTGATTTGGCCACAAAAGGTGGCGCTTACAATAATAGATTATGAACGACAGGCCAAGCTTGCCCGGGCGGCCAGACAGCCGCGACAGCGCAGCCCTCGCGCGCCCGCGGCAGGAGATGCGCCAAATTTCACGGGGAGGAGGAGGGGGCGGGGAAGACGGAGGAGAGCGGCAGGCGCTGCCCGCCGCCGCCAGCGCAGCAGGGCCACGCGCGCCTCCAGAGCCCCTGCGCTGCAGCCTCCCGCCGCATAAGCGGGGAGCATCGATGGTTTGGTCGTCGACGTAGAGGTGCAGACGCAATAAGGGCCTCCGCTGCGACGCACTGAGCATGGGCTCATGCGACAACATCTGGAGCCCAAGCGAGGCGAAGCCGGAGTCGGCCGCGACGCCGAGGGCGGCGATGAGCAGACGTGAACACGCGCCCTCCGCGCCAATCGCCCAAGCCAAACAGCGCGCCGCCAGCGAGAGCCGCAGGATGATTCAATTCAAAGTGAAAGGCGCCGCTGCCGCGGCAACGAAGCGGCGCGGCACCCGCTCAAAAGCCTCGACGAGGACAGGGGGGGGGGGGGGGCGACATGGGGGCGCGCGGAGGCGGCGTGCGCCACGGCTGCAGACGCCGCGGCCCAGGCCGCGCAATGCGCGCCGCGCGCAGCGCTGCCCAAAAACGATGAAGGGGGTGCGCTGCTTCCCAGGCCCTGGCCACGTTGGCCCGAGCGCGCATCCGCACTCGGATGAGTGAGTGGGAAGCGATCCGATGGGCCGGCGGCCGCCGACGGGCTGGGGCAGCAGCACGATCGGCACGAGTTTGTGCGCGGCAGTCCACCCGCCGAGCCGCTGGATGGCCCTCGGCGCCAGGCGGTCAGCGCCTTAGCCCGCGCCGGCCGAAAAGGAGGCGATGGCCTGGCCCAAGTTCCACGTGGTGATCAGCTGGGACCGCGAAAGCAAGTGCTCGGGGAATTACGGCTCATGGTGCTCGCCCCGGGCAACCCGTTGCTCCGCCCGCCCCGCAGCTTCGCGGTCGAGAGAGGCCTGCTCGGAGGGCGGGGCCAAGGCGACAAGGCCGCGCCCTGCTGGCAGCTCCTCGATCCGCGCATCGGCGCACTCGTGCTCCAGAGCACCCGCGTCGGGGGCGTCGCCCTCGCAGCGGGCCCCCCCCCCCCGCAGGGGAGGGGCGCGACCGGCCGCCGACGCCCCAGGCGCGGCGGGATGCGAAGCGCGGGCGGAGGCAGCCGGAGGCAGGGAGGGCGCCGCGGTGGCTGACGGGCGAGCCCTCGACGTAGCCCCCATATATCTACCGGGCGCGCAGAGCAGCTTGAGACGCCAGGGGGCGCAAGGCGGCAAGGCCAACGGAGCGCCTCGCGTCGCCGTGGGCTGCGGCCCAAGAGCGCGCGGCCTCGGGCGCCCCAACGGGGGCGCGGTCCGCGCGCCGCGCTGCAGCGAGCACCCGGGCCCAACGGCGAGCCAGCGGCAGCTCGTCGACAGTGGTCTCGCAGGCCCTGGCAGCGCACTCCCGCCAGGCAACGGCGAGCGCAGGGCCTGTTGGCCGGCTGGTCATCGACGGACCCCGGCGGAAGCGCGGCCGGCACCGCGGCGCAGGCGCGCTGGTGAGCAAGCCGAACGCGCCGCGTGCCGCCCTGCGCCGACGGCCCATGGCAGCTTCGAGCTGCGCGAACTCCCGGATCCCGCCAGGGCCCCGCGCGTCGGGCGTGGAATCTGGCAGGGGTCGACGAGGGGGGCCCCCATCAATGCGGCGCGGCGGGTGGCCTCGCGTCGAGCATCGCTGGCCAGATGCAACCTGGCGGGGGAATGCGGCGCGAACCCAGCGTCGTCTACGCGACTGTCCCCAGGGGCAGCACGGGAGACGCACCGACGGACGACGAAGAAATCGAAGGTGGATCCGCGGCGCGTGGGAGTCGCTGGAGAGACGACTCGGCCAAGCCAGCCAGTCGCCGCGAGCATCCCGCGGCCCCGACAGCATCCCGAGCGGCGCAGCAGCCTCCGCCAGGACTTGCACGACGTGCAGGCTAAGCTCGGCGCCAGCAAATAGCAGCTTGACCTCTGGAGTTGGCAGTGGCCCGCTCCCCTCGCCGTCGTTGGCGCGCGCGGCTAGGCCCGCTTCCAGCCCCCCCGAATCGAAGTGCGTTGGTTCGGGTAGTTTTGCTAGCGCTGCTGGATGGAGCTCCTCCACTGCCTGCGCGATACTTGTTTCTCCACGGCGGCGCTGCCATGCTGTTTGCCAGATGCCCGCCCTGCTGTCCGTCGTTTCGCGCGCTGTCGCCCCCTGCGTCGTCGTTGGATAAACTGCCCAGTCTGGCTGGTCGCGTCTTTCCATGTTTGCTGAGGTAGCCCCCGTCGCGCTGCCTGATCTTGTTGTTCTGGCCCATTGCATAACTTCCTCGCGCGCGCTTCCATATCTGGCGCGAGTGCCAGTCAGCTCGCTGGCGCACCGCCCCAACGCACCTCCGCCGATTTACATGTGTGCTCTGCCAACAGATCTGGACCCTGATCGCGATGTAGTCCGCCACCCGCTCGGCTGGAGGATGCACCTGCAGGCCGAGGAAGCCAGCCTTCGCCGATCCAGATCCCTCTTTGTGTTGGATCTGGTCGGTGAGCTCGGCGATGACCGCGCAGATGTTAAGCCGGCGTGCGTGGCCGTGGTCTGCGCGCCTACTCGCAGGTGGCTCTCCACCCCAGCGCCGCCCGCGTAGGACTGCCCAACTTGCCGACGCGCTGCAGCCCCGCTTTCGCGTCGATAGCTCTCTGTGTCGCAACGCGATGCGCATGCGATGCTTCGCAATCAGTTGTCGCGTTTCCACGTCTGGTTCGCCGCCGCCATGGAACCCTGGCGAAGGCGGCCACGGTTCTTACTGCAGCAACTGCCCAGTTGCCAGGTTGTCCCGTTAGCTCGCTCACCCAAGACCTGCTGATGCGCCATCGAACTCCGAACCAATTGCGGCGCTGGCCTGGCAGCGCTTTTTTCCAACGCTGCGACGTGGCCCCACATCGTAGCCTCACGCTGTGTCGGCACTGTGTTTTGACACGGACATCGGGCAATCCATCGCCCCATGCAGGTAGACCACCTCCTGCTGCTGGGTGTAGCTGATGCTGCTGGCGGCCTGGCCTTTGCCGCTCGAGTCCTTGGTCTGTCCTTTCGTGTGCCCTGGAAATGGGCCGCTTCGCGGATAGGAGCATTCTCCGCGTGGCAATGGTCGCTGGCCCCGCCCGCGTCTCCATCGCGACGCCTAGGCGGGGCGCCTGTGGGAAGTTCCAGCCGGCGCCGGGCGGGCAGGCGGGCGGTCTGAAGCTCGGCGGGATGGCGCAGTCAAAACTGCGGCCAGATCCGCCGCTGCACGCGCGGCCCTCGCCCTGTGGGGCGACGACTGCGCCCACCAAGCATTATCATCGATGGTCTCCTCCATCTCCTTCGGCGCATCGTTGGCGCCCACGGGGTATTTCTTCAGCTTTTGATGACCTGCACGGGGTGCCTCATGATCTTGGTCTTCCCACCTGCGAACCCAATGAGCACCGCGAGGTTTTCCGCGACTGCCGCAGCCGTCTGACATTTTCGCCTCCACATGACAACCGGAGTGCTGCGAGTCTCCTCGGCGAGAATTCTTTCCTTGACAATCGGGCCCGTGGACGCTGGCGGCGTGGCAACGCCTTCGCAAGATACGCGGTCATCCCAAAGCTTCGCCGCGCAAACAGCGGCGGCTTCCACGCTTGTGGCGAGGTGCCGTGCGAGCGGCGCTCACGTCTCATAAGTATGATTGTCTTGGGGGGTGTCATTGGCCCTCTGAGGTGATGCAATTTGAATGCGATGATACCTGGCGTGGGCTACCTGTTTGTACTGCGCACAGATGGTCGCGACAATATTGACGGTTTGCTGGGCGCAACCAATGCGCTTGAAATTATCCGTCTCCGCCCCCCTGGGATAACCCAACTTGTCGGCGGGATTGGATGCGAAATTGTGGCCACCAGCATGGTTGTTCTGCTGAGGGAGGTTGACGCACTCGAGATACTCCACTTCATAAATGCACGCGGGTCTGCCTCCCGACGAACATGCGCCGTTCCCCAGATCGGCCTGGTCAATGTCTGCCGCGACTGAGAAAAAAACAACAGAAGCTGGCCTCTTTCGCAACAGCCGTTGATAGCAACGCACAACCGTGTCCTCGATATTGGCCACCCTTGGTAATGTCGCGATTAAAACTGCACCTTTGGCGTCCGCGGGAACGCCATGCGGAACAGGCTCATCATCTGGTACAGCCTGCTGTGGTACTGCGGGCAGAGCTGTCCGACTGGCGTTTGTGCGCTCCAGTTGCGTCGTAAGGTCGGCCTGGATCTGCTCCGCGCTTTGGAGGCCCATCTGGCCTGCCCCTGTTGCGTGGGGGTCCGCTGGTCTTGTCGCAGATGACGATCCTAGTGTGTTCGGGTGCTTTTGCTGCTGTGGTTGCATCTTCTCCTTCACGCCGTCTGGTTGTCTCCGCTTTAAGATTCAAGTTGTTGGTTTCGTCGGCGGGTTTTCTTTGCATGCTGGTTTGCTTCCTTCTTTACATCGTTGGTGGATGCATAGGTGTTGGTGGAATCCTCCTCGGTGCGTTCGCATTCCGTTCTTTGGCCTGCGTCAAGAAGAAAACCCCCGTGGACCTTGGTTGCGGAAAGTCATCCCCGCCGTCAGCTTTGATTTGTTGCTGCGTGGGGTTCGGCAGCATATGGGCCTCCCACTCTCGCCTTGAGCTATTGAAACACCTTCTTGGTCACTGCCAAAATCTCCGCGTTGTCGCTGATCTTATGCATCACCTCTTCACGGTACTCGGTGGTTCGCCGAAATTGTTTGCCAACGTGTCACGGGACATACTTCTGAACGCGATTGAATTCAGATGGGTCCTCTTGGAGCTTCTGCCATGTCGTGAATACCACTGGTGCTGCTGGAGTTGTGGGTTCTGCTGCTGGCACTACGGCTGCAATCTGATCAATCTTGGCTTGGTTCGGAGCCTCTCTTTCGCCTGGATGCAATGTTTGCTGAAGAATTCCACAGTTAGTTTGTTGGTACCGCCGTCCGCTTCCACAGGCTGTCCATCCTTTAACCGTGGGCATGGACTGACGACTGCACGTTTTGCACTGGGTCAACCCTAGCCGGCCAGCTCGACTGCAGCACACCCCATCTGCCACTCGCCACCAGACAAGTCGGACAGACCATATGTGCCGTCGCCTTGCTCCTACCAGAGATTTGCGGCATCCTGGCCGGACGTGATCACTCAAGCTCTGCCTCTGGCCATGCGCTGGGGCAGCAAGACCTTTCGCAGCAGCTCTGCTGGCCGCCCCCCCCAAAGGGCGCATGGCGGGCGCCGCCCGCCACCGCCGATGGTGCGCGCCCTGCTGCCTCGGCCCTGGCACGCAGTGGGTGCATGCTGGAACGAGCAGGCTTAATGTGAGGAGGAGGAGGAGGGGGATGAGAGGCGGAGGAGGAGGAGGAGGAGAAGGAGGAGGAAGAGGAACAGGAGGAGGAGCAGGAGGAGGAGGAGGAGCAGGAGAAAATGGATGAGGAGGAGAAGAGACCCGTACTCGACCTTCTCCTTCTCCATCTCCGCCATCTCCTCCATCTCCCCCTCCTCCTCTCAACCTTCTCGGCATCCCTCAACCTGCGCCTCCACTTCGACCTCCTGGTCCTCCTCCACCTCCCTTGACATCCTCCTCCTCCTCCTCCTCCTCCTCCTCCTCCGCCTCCTTCGCCTCCTCCGCGTTCGCTTGCGTCATCTTCCCACTCCTCCCCCTCCTCGAACTCGCCATGCTCACTCGACCTCCTGCCCAACCTCCCCCCCGACCTCCTCGGCCCCCCCTGCGACTCGCGGATGCACCTTCTGGATGCTCAGCGACCTCCCCGGACGGTCTCGACTTCCCCTCGCCTCCCTGGACGTCATCCCTTGACTTTCCTCTCTCGCCGCGATCCCCCGTCGACCTCCCTGGGCATCCTGGCCCCTGCCCGCCGCCGCGACCTCCTCGCTCGACCTCCTTGGACCTCCTCCTCCTCCTCCTCCTCCTCCTCCTCCTCCTCCACAATACTCAATATGAATACTACTCTCCCATCTCCCCCGATGGCGGCCTGAAAATATTAGACCCCCCCGCGTACTGTTTTTTGACACACAGGGTTCCCAGGAGTTGGGTTTTCGCCTGCGCTTTTTTTCCAAAATGCTGCTCTCGCTGGGGCGCCGGCCTCGTTTCTGCTCCCGAATCGTTCCGAATCGTGCTCCCGCTGCAGCGTGGGCCTCATTTTCGGATCGGTGTTTGGCCTCCGTCGTTCAGGATGGCGTTCTCACCCCAGCGCGGGCCTCTTTCTCGCGCGCCCATCCGCCCGCCACCACCGCGCCGCACCACCACCACCACCACCACCACCACCAACCACCACCACCACCACCACCACCACCACCACCACCACCACCACCCACCAGCACCACCAGCACCACCAACCACCACCACCACCACCAGCACCAGCACCACAACCACGCACACGCACGCACGCACGCACGCACGCGCACCACCACCCACTACGCACGCGCGCGCGGAGCCACAGGTCCGCTACGACACGCGTCCGCGGATAGAGAAAATCAGCGCCATGGTAAGGGATGGGAGGGAGGGGTAGGACGTCAGATATGACGCGAGCGCACCTAGCTTGTCCCCCTCCCCCTCCCCCTCCCCGTCCCCCTCCCCCTCCCCCTCCCCCTCCCCCTCCCCCCTCCCCCTCCCCCTCCCCCCTCCCTCCTCCTCCTCCTCCTCCTCCTCCTCCTCCTCCTCCTCCTCCTCTCCTCCTCCTCCTTCCTTCCTCCTCCTCCTCCTCCTCCTCCTCCTCCTCCTCCTCCTCCTCCTCCTCCTCCTCCTCCTCCTCCCTCCTCCTCCTCCTCCCGCCCGCCTCCGCCTCCGCCTCCTCCTCCTCCTCCTCCTCCTCCTCCTCCTCCTCCTCCTCCCTCATCATCATCATCATCAGCATCATCATCATCATCATCATCATCATCATCATCATCATCCCCCTCCTATTCCTCCTCCTCTCCTCCCGCTCCCCTCCCCCTCCTATTCATATCCTATTCCTATTCTCCTCCTCTTCCTCCTCCTCCTATTGATCCTCCTCCTCCTCCTCCTCCTCCTCCTCCTCCTCCTCCTCCTCCTCCTCCTCCCCCGCTGTGCGGCCGCGCATCCTCAGGTCGACTTCCGCAATCTGCTGCACGATTCCGTCCGCTCCTGCCACAGGCGCGGCACCCTCCGCCGCCGCTGCAGAAGCTGCGACCGCGTAGGACCGAGGATTGATAATCGGGGATCGTTGCTGAGGATCGAGGACCGTCGTCGCCGCCGACGACGGGTGCAGGGTTCTGAATGCGTTTGGGGCCTCGTTTGTGAGCTTCCCAGAATCTCACTGGAGGATATCCGGGCGACCCCAGAAGGAGCCCCCCCCCGGAGGCATCCAGAGGTCTCCCAACACGCTCCAGAAGTCCTCTGGGCGGGGACTCGACCGAGGCTTCGGAACGCCCCTGAATCCACCTCTGGGCCTTGGGATATCCCCAAGAGGCCTCCGCGGACCTCGCGCTGAGGCCCCACGGAGGCCTCCTGAGGTCTCCCGGGACGCGGGATCCGGCGTCGTCGCCGCCATGGCAGCGGCGGCCTTTTTTTTGTTGCTTGTTTTGCTTTTTATTGATGTGATATGAAACCTGGAGGGCCTCTAGAAGCCTCCGAAGACCTCCAGGGGACCATCTGGCCTCTTCCGACTCCACCTCCCCCACCTCGTCAACCACCTCCATCCTCTGCTCCTCTTCCCCCCTCCTCCCAACTCCTCCAGGGACCTCTCGAGGGGAGCGTCAGGAGGGGACCGGCTCCGGGCAGAGTCCTGGACCTGGACTCGCCGATGCAGCGCCGATGCAACGGCAAGCTGCCCCCGGGAGCAGCGAACCGGGGGGGGGGAAACGCTCGTCGCCACGGCGCGGGCTCCGCCGCGGCTGGATCCGCAGCGGGATCCTGGTTGCAGCGCGGTCCGTGTGAAGCCCGGGGCTCGTCGTCGTCGTCGTCGTCGTCGTCGTCGTCGTCGTCGTCTTCCTTCGCCTCCGCCGCCTCCTCCTCCTCCTCCTCCTCCTCAGCCGTCTTCACCCTTCCTGAGGGTGGGAGGGTGCAGGAGGACCGCTACGCCTCGAAACTGTCCAGGGGTGCGTTCTGACCAACATTTCGGAGGGGACTCCGGCCGTGGCGTCGAGGGGCCTCCATAGGGCGAGCAGCGGAACGGGGTAGGGTTAAGTCGGGCCTTTCCCCCTACAGGGAGATCTTCGACGAAAAATACAAAATACACCAACAATACCCCCCAAAGGTCAATACATACCCCCACAATAATCCCCAGACTATTTTTGGACTATTGTTTGATTATGGTTGTGGTATGTTTTATGTTTCGTCGTAAATCCCCCTGTAGGGGGACAGGCCCGACTTAAGGGTAGGGGCATCCGTTCCTCCCCTGACTCCTGGGGGTGGGAGAGGGGCAGAGAGGATGATGGGAAGACGACGACGAACAAGAAGACGGCCCCGACGGGCGGGGAGGTCGGTCAGACGGGGCGAACCTTCTCAGGAGGCTGAGACGGTTAGCAATAAAAGGTACCTCTATCCGTTTGGGAGGGGCCCTAACTTAGGAGGGCCAAAACATTGGGGATAGGGCACCACTTCTGCAGATGAATCGAGGCTGCGTCTTCGTCGTTGTATTAGAACCCCAGACATGCGACGTCTTGATTTTTTCAATACGGGGTCCCTGGAAGTCCCGACACTTTCCCCGGGACCGCTTTTTCATCCTGAGTCGTTTTCTGACGGTCTGGAGGCCCGGCGAGGGCCCCCCGTGTCTGGGGTTTGGGCTTCTTGCATCCTCGACGATCAAAAGACCCCCGGTGGTCTGAGAAGCTTCCTGGGCCTTCTCCTGGCCGGAAGGATTCTTCTCGGAGGCCCCCCCGGCCGCTACCCGAGATAAAGCCGGGCACCTCGCCGAGGGGCAACGACAAGAGGAGGGAACTGGCATAGTCTCAGGTCGGGCACGTCCTCCTGCAGGCGGATTTTGGAGGACAAGTGAAAATGATCCTCAAGAACATCGAACTAAGGAATCGTCAAAACCTCGTCCCCAGACCTTTGTTGACTATTTTCAAACATTCTTCCTGTAGAGGGACATGCCCGACTTGACCATAGTGGGGGGACAATCGACGCGGCATCGGCGATCGCCGATGGCTCGGCGACAGGCCCCCGATGGCGAAGCCGCGCGGTCCTCGGCAAGCTGGGGCGATCGGGCCCCTTCTCGGCGACCAATGGGCGATGGGGGTCGACGTGTCCGCCCTGCAGCGGGCAAGCATGGTCAAACAAAAGCTAATGTAAGAGATCTTCCTCCTCCTCCTCCTCCTCCTCCTCCTCCTCCTCCTCCTCCTCCTCCTCAAACGGAAGTTCCCTGAAGCGAGCCTGGACCAAGTTCTGCCTCTGCCGCTGGAGGGGCGAAACTGCTCCAGAAACTGGGCCAGCTCTCCGGCAACTTGATCAAGGAACGCCGGCTCGGCTTTTCGGGAGGAGCTTTGTCAACTTGTGGCGTCCAAGGCCCAGATAGCGGGGCAGTCCAAAACGTGGAAAAGCCTGTGGGAGAAGCTTGCAAGAACGCTTGGAAGGTTATCTGCGGAGCTTGTAGGTTCGAGAAAAGGGCTTCCCAGGAGCCGAAGAATGGCCGCGAAGGAGCTGCCGAAAGGCTTCGGTCGGAGAACGCTTTCGTAACACGCTGCAAATTCAAGCAAGCTCCTGCGAGG